CAGACACAGAGGAACTTGTTTCTTGGTCAACAGACACAGAGGAACTTGTTTCATGGTCCACAGACACAAAGGAACTTGTTTCATGGTCGACAGACACAGAGGAACTTGTTTCTTGGCCGACACAGAGGAACTTGTTTTATGGTCCACAGACACAGAGAAACTTGTTTCATGGTCCACAGACAAAGAGGAACTTGTTTCATGGTCCACAGACACAGAGGAACTTGTTTCATGGTCCACAGACACAGAGGAACTCGTTTCGCGGTCCACAGACACAGAGGAACTCGTTTCGCGGTCCACAGACACAGAGGAACTTGTTTCTTGGTTCACAGACACAGAGGAACTTGTTTCATGGTCCACAGACACAGAGGAACTTGTGTCATGGTCCACAGACACAGAGGAACTTGTTTCTTGGTCAACAGACACAGAGGAACTTGTTTCATGGTCCACAGACACAAAGGAACTTGTTTCATGGTCGACAGACACAGAGGAACTTGTTTCTTGGCCGACACAGAGGAACTTGTTTTATGGTCCACAGACACAGAGAAACTTGTTTTAAGGTCCAAAGACACTGAGGAACTTGTTTCATGGTCCACAGACACAGAGGAACTTGTTTCTTTAGCCCACAGAGGAACTTGTTTCATGGTCCACAGACACGGAGGAGCTTGTTTCATGGTCCAAAGACACAGAGAAACTTGTTTCTTGGCCCACAGACACAGAGAAACTTGTTTCTTGGCCCACAGACACAGAGAAACTTGTTTCTTGGCCAACAGGCACAGAGAAACTTGTTTTTTGGCCCACAGACACAGAGAAACTTGTTTCTTGACCCACAGACACGTAAGAACTTGTTTCTTGGCCCACAGACACAGAGGAAATTGTTTCTTGGCCCACTGACACAGAGGAATTGTTTCTTGACCCCAAAACACAGAGGAACTCGTTTCGTTGCCCACAGACACGTAGGAACTCGTTTCGTTGCCCACAGACACACAGGAACTTGTTTCGCGGCCCACAGACACACAGGAACTTGTTTCGTTGCCCACAGACACAGAGGAACTTGTTTCGTGGCTCACAGAAGAATTTGTTTCGTAGCCTACCTGACAGCTAACTAAACACGGAAACAAAAACAAATGTAGACTGCATTACTTTTTTTAATTCGATGACATAAAATTACAAGTGTCCGCTAATGCCGTATCTGCTGCTACTCAGATGTTAGAAAACATGCGGCTCAGAAGGGTTTCCAGGATTTGCACCTCTTTTACTGACAAGCTGGGAACCACTGTTGTATAGTGGATCCAAAGGTTGTGGGCTCAAGTCTTGGCGCAGCCGGACCATTTTCAGAAATGACCTTGGTTTTCAGGTCGATCCAGCCTTGAGTGGGTACCGGGTAAAGGCCCCAAAAGTAAAGGGAGCCAGCGTGGTGTCCACAGCGTGTGACCTAGGCTCAGGCTGTGGGTAGGGCCAGTTCTAGGTGTGCTGGCGTCGTTGAAAGCTGTGTCGTCGTGTAATAAAGAACACGCTACATCGGCGCTGATGTAATTGGAGGCAAGACAACGGGACACCCCTCCGACGTAGAAAAGTCTCAGAAAGTATGAATGAAAGGTCAGCCAGTGTGTAGATGGGCCGGAAAACGTTAACTAGACCGAATATATTTGAAATAATATGAAATGATTAAATAAATGTTAAACAAGAGGTCGTCTCTGCATGGTTAGAGTTCAGGGAAAAGGCTTTGCCTCCTAAAAGTTATTGCGCGGAGGGGTGGGGAGCTCAAGGTCCATTGACCTCCATTTTCCGGCGACTCTGTCTCATAGCTTGATTCCACAGAGTAGTAAGTAGATCCGGAAACAAGGCCCGCTATTGTTGGCGGGAAATCTGCACTAGGAATTTCTTGTCAAACGAGGACAAACAGGAAGTTGTCCCACGTGAAAACACGACACTGCGCGATCACTTTGGCACCTAGTAATTAAATCATTATTTTCTAAATTGGAAATGTTTATATTTTGTTTTTTCGATTGTTTACTGCAATGAATAAATATGGGATGAGCGTTGTAAAATTCTAGTTCCATTCATATATGTATGGGGCGAAATGGACCCCCCCTCCCTCCCCCACAACCGTTTACACACACACACATATATACATACATTTGTGTGTGGGGGGGGGGGGTCGGAATTAGGCCACCCTCCTAACAAGCATGACAACCAAAACATATTAGGGCTTTGTTGTAATTAGATATGTTGGATTGGGCCGAGAGGTACAAATATCGCAGCTTAGATGTGCACCACAAGTCGGGAAAGCTAACCCGGGCAACAAATGTCTGCAGAAGTCGGATTTGTCGGCTGAAAGGAGCAAATGACTGCAGCTTTACTTTAAACGGACAAATACGTCTTTGGACGAAGGCAGAAGAAGACTTCGTAAACCACAAGAGCTCGTGTCCATTGCCATTTCAGGGTTAACGTGTAATAAGTCAATAACCGGTATGAGCGTCGTACTGTTCAAGGGGCAGTGGGGCACACTACTGAGGGAGAAATTGCATAGTAATACAAAAAATAGTCAATGTTTGTTTCATCGTTTTATGATCCCCGCGTTTAGGGCCACGTTAGCGCAGTCGATAAGAAGCTCGCTTTCAAATCCAGCTGCGACTCGCTGCAGCCCACGGTCAGTGTTCGAAACCGGGTGGCTCCTGGGGTTCACCCAGCCTCTAGAAAATGGGTACCAGAGTTGACACTCTGGGGTAAGTGGAGGAACGTCGCTGTAGCTACAGAGTTACTTGCGGACGGCGACACAGGCGGATAATTCTGATCAGCTGTCCGTACTGGTGGCAGAGCACTTATAGTTTATAACCGTGTGCAATGACGCTGGTTCACATCTCCCGACTTTACATTTTACCTTTATGATCCCCGTAAAGGAAACGATTAACTTTTTAAAACTTAATATATCTATACGCACACACAAATACGTACTCGCCGCCTCCCCTCAAGTCACAGTTACTCACACGCATACATTTACACACACACAGAGACATACAATATTCATACAGACATATACACTCACCCATGCATTCATAAACACACTGTAAACACAATACAATAGAGATGCACACAGTCACGCAAACATGTGTGTGTGTGCGCGTGCGTGTGTGTGTGCGTGCGTGCGTGCGTGTTCGTGTGTGTGTGTTGGTCCCATATTAGTCGAGATCATTGGGGTGTCTCAATAGGGTCTCACATCAGGTCCTATAGTACATCTCAGAAATCCTGCGCAAATTAAAAAATCTGTGACTCAATAATCATTCAGTGTCAGTTGTTGAAATTTGGCATGCAGTCTGTTAATAATCATCATGTCCTTGTGATATTATGTTTTGTAAACAAACACCGTATTTGGATGTGTCCTTTTTGCGATATATCAAAAACACAGAAACCCATTCAAAGCAAACAATCAGTAGCTTACGGTGAGTCAGTTGACTGAGTCAGGAAACATTTCAAAACATAAACATGCAAGCGTTTCATAGGCTCTTCACTCTCAGGTGATCATCTGCAGCATCATTTCCCGTGAGTTGCGGATTTTTCATTGTACGGGGAATAGGCTATGAAAATAAGCTGCACACGCACACTTGTTTTAAAACAATCTTTACGCATGTGTTAATTACTTTGTACTTCGTTGCCTATGGTCACAGAAATAAAAAAGTTAAATAAAGATCAAAGAAATTTGCCGCTTTTAGAAAACAAGAAAACTTCTGTTCTGAGTCATAAGGACGTGGGAAATCTAAAGCCGCATACAAAAAAATTCGTCTTAGTCGATACAGTTTTCGAGACATTTGTTAAAGTGTGTGACGGTATGAGTTTTGAAACGTACTGTAACATATTCTACGTCCTAATACGGAGGAGGGGAGGGTGTGTCAACAAACAACAATACTGTTACACATATGATAGATCACGTGGTATGGGAGTTTCGCAGGGAAGGCAAACTCGGTCAGCAAATGCCACAGGAAGTCGGATGTGTCGGCCGACAGTCGTAAATATCGCAGCTTGCTGCAAACAGGCACAACGCAATTGTTGAGAATTGTTGTTGTTGTTGTTGTTGTTAAAGTCTGACGACCGAATGAAAGAGAGGAGGAAAAGGTAGAAATATCTGTAGCCTTGGATTTGTTTTCAGTTAAGAGAAAAGATGGCGGCACTTCCCACAGAGTGTCTGTTACAGCTATCGGCATGTAGCAGGTTCTTTGCAGAACGTCGCTCGCATTACGGTCTGCGTGGAAAAAAAAAAAAAAACCTCGGTCTCTCTCTAGCTCTCCTGCCTAGCGCTATTTCATATCCATGGAGTCACTTATATCCTGCGCCCATCTTCATGTTGGTCGGCCCCTGCTTCTCCATGCTTTCTGGTATATTTTTTCCCCGCCGTAGCGCTGAAAAGAAAATTACTTTCATTTTAAAAGAAAACATACGGGTACTGCGTACTGTTACGTACCATCAGAGACAAAAGCCCTGGTTGTAGCAGTAGCAGTAGTGATTTGGGTGACTGTTGTAGTAGTAACGTTAAAAAATATTAGGTGTGGAGTGACAACCATGGTGGTGGTAGTAGTAGTAGTAGTAGTAGTAGTAGTGGTAGTAGTAGTAGTAGTTATAATATTAGAAGTAGTAGAAGTAGTAGTAGTAGTAGAAGTAGTAGTAGTAGTAGTAGTAGTAGTAGTAGTAGTAGTAGTAGTAGTAGTAGTAGTAGTAGTAGTAGTAGTAGTGGTAGTAATGGTAGTAGTAGTAGTAGTAGTAGTTGTTGTTGTTGTTGTGTTGGTTGTGGTTGCTGCTGGTGTTGTTGTTGTTGTTGTTGTTGTGTTGGTTGTGGTTGCTGCTGGTGTTGTTGTTGTTGTTGTTGTTGTGTTGGTTGTGGTTACTGCTGTTGTTGTTGTTGTTGTTTTGGTTGTGGTTGCTGCTGCTGGTGTTGTTGTTGTTGTTGTTGTTGTTGTTGTTGTAAAAAATCGACACTGGAATCTAGATTTTCTGTTTTCCTATTTCAGGTTCCGGAAGTGCCTCAAAGCCTCCTCGTCGCCTTTGGCTCATCTGATTGGCCAGATCTATTTCAACGTGGTTGGCCCTCAGTGCTTCAAATTTACCCAGAAATCCACCTGCGTCCAGCGCCACTGGTGGGGTGGTTGTCGCCAGTACGCCAACAGCAAAGTAGCCTTCGCTAAGAAACAGAGACGGTTTAAATGAGACAACAGCAAACAGACATAATGTGTGTTGTTCACTATATCGTTAGTCATTCAGCTTATTCAACAACAAAATGTGTGAACCTTATAATGTGGGACTGCAACCAAGACAGCTAAATGTTGAATCTGTGCTTGAACATTGATGAATTGTTCCATATGGGTTCCAGGGCCCTATTGTTGGGGGAGGGGGGGGGGGGTTGGGCCCTAGGCCACTGCCTCCCTAACAAGCATGTCTTAGATTCGACTAATTAGGGGTTTCCTTTGAAGTCAGAGTGATTTTTTGAGAGGGGGAACCAACAGTCTGCATACAAGTAAGCTAGATCTGTAAAACGCATGTGCACCCTATACTCAAGTTTTGGAACACAACGCTATTTGCTGAGTAGTAGTAGTAGTAAATTTTACCCTACCAGGACATCACACAAGCGATAAACACTCGATGACACAAAGTGCCACCATGTGGATGAGGATCACCCGTGGAGAGGTCCCAGAAACGGCGTTCAGCCATTAGACCATTTTTATGGCCGGGCTATATTGCGGCCCCTGGAAATATCCAGTGTGAGGCTTCAAAATAACGAAAAATTGCACCCTTTCTCCCCCCCCCCCCCCCCCCTCCGAAAGCTGGCACGTTGCCTGACCGAGTGTTTATCGCTCTTTGTAAAGTACTGCTGGGTTAAAAATTCTTTTTTATTTAGGAAAAGGGAAATAACTGATTCAATATATTTTCTCCAAAACTGGTTGTTTCCCATTTATGCAATCATGTTTACGTGTAGACACCATTGCTATAAGCATTAACATACATCGTTTCAATAGTGTTGCACTCCAAGCGATTTCCACTTATCCGTCAAGGGATATCATGACATTCTAATTAAACAACAGTTTTGTTTGTCTTGTTCTATAAATAGACCTGGCTGCATTGTTGTTGTTATTAGCCATGACATTTTCACAGCCCACCTGTGTTAGAGAGGGGTAAAGCTCGTATTCGACTGTCCCCACCCCATTATGCAAGACTGCAAGTTGTTATTATCTGTTTTTATCTGGTATCCATTCTTGGGTATTTAAAATTCAAAGAAGGGAAAATATTAATGGAGCAAAGTGACATAATTGAAAGATGGATAGAGTACCGGGGGTGAGGGGGGGGGGGGAAGGGTGAGGGGGGCGTATCATGATAAAAGACTAGAAATATATTTGCAGGACAACGGTGAAAGCCCACAAATACTGGCTGCAAAAGTTAAGGATGGATCGCATCAGATGAAGAAAGAAAAGGCACCTGAGTTAGACAACATCACACTGGAAGAAACTGAAGCTTTGGGAATTTTGGAATTGAAATAATAACAAAATTGTTAAATGACATTTATAATAGTGGGTATCTTTCTAATGACGTAATAACATTTACATTTATTGCCCTGGCAACGAAATCAGGCACTTTTAATTGGAAAGATTATAGTACCATATGTCTTATGAGTCATGTGACAAACATTTTACTTAGAACAATTATGAGAAGAATTAGAGGTTTGAGGTTTGAAGTTTGAACAATGAATCAACATCATGGCACACGGGTAGTAACCCAATAGTGCTCCCTTCTTCTTCTAACCCAAGTCTTGAGTCCGAAGAAGTTTAGCAAAGTGCACATGCTCTGTAGCACCGGCGAGGATCCTGAAATACTTTGGTAGATTTTTAACTCCAAAATTTGCCCGGGCGTTAAGCGACTCTTTTCGATTTCCAACAACCAAGGGATTTTTTACGTGCGCGACAATGCACACGGGCGTACGATCTCACTACTCAGAGACCAAGGGGAATTACTAGAAGTCCAAGTCCACGTGACATAAATCCCAGCCCTTACCGAGGATTGAACCTGAAACCTCCAGCACTCGAGGCGGACATCATGCCTCAAGACCACACAGCCCCTGAGAAGACTGAGAAACAAGATTAAACCAGAAGTTAGTAAAGAACAGTGATGATTTGTAGAATGAACAAGCACAAACAAGCATCCTTTCGGAAATAGCCATAGAAGTAAAACACGATCTTTACTTATGCTTCAGTGACTATACGAAAGACTTTCATTGTGTGAAACATGAAGAAATAATTTAATTATTGGAAAAATTAAACATTGATGGATATGATTTACGAACTATAAAGAACATGTATTAGCAGAAAACAGCAGCTAAAATAATTATATCCATTTTGGAACATTTCAGAGCATTAAGATGGAAGTAAGAAAAGGATGTTTACCGATTTGGTTTCATTATACAGTCAATATAAAATGAGATTTATCATGCATATGCCAGGGAGCCGCAGTAGATAAGAAGCTCGCTTTCAAATCCAGCTGCAACTCGCTGCAGGACGGTCGGTGTTCGAAACCGGGCAGCTCCCGGGGTTCACCCAGCTTCTAGGAAATGGGTACCAGAGTAATACTCTGGGTAAATGGAGGAACGTCACTGTAGCTACAGAGTTACGTGCGAACGGCGACACAGGCGGACAATTCTTATCAGCTGTCTGTACTGGTGGCAGAGCACTTATGATTTATAACCGTGTGCAATGACGCTGGTTCACATCTCCCGACTTTACCTTTTTACCTCTATGGATATGCCAGGATTTGCATTTGATGGACATAAGCAACTTGCTTTATGCTGATGACAGTCTTGATAGCGACAAGTCAGAAAGAACTACATTGATATATGTAGAAAGTTATAAAATGGTCTTCAGTTTGAATAATGGAAAGACAAAAATAATGGTGATTTTAAAGAAAATAATAGTGCCTAAATGTATAATTAAAGACAAAAGGCGTTATTTTAAGACAAGTGTAGAAATTTAAGTATCTAGGCACATAAAAAAAGTATCTGATGGAAGATGTATCACAGAGGTAAAGAACAGAGGTAAAGAACAGAGGTAAAGAACAGAGGTAAAGAACAGAGGTAAAGAACAGAAAAGGTCAGGCCAAAACTGCATTTTACAAGAAGAAGAACATTTGGTGCAATAATCCATGTCACTGGAGGCTAGGACAAGAATTCTCTATATAGAGCAAGTTTTAACACACGGCTGTGAAGCCTGGACAATTAATAAACAAGCTGAACAATATCTGGAGGCCTCGGAGATGTGGTGTTACAGAAAAATCCTTAGAATTCCTCGGACAGCTAAGAAGAGCCACCCAGATGTTTAGAAAGAGGCGAGTGCTCGAAGACAACTTATCACAAACATCAGAAAGAGACAGTCATCATTTTTTTGGTCATTTCATGAGAAGATAACAATGGAACATGTTGTGACAGCTAGAAAGATCTTTGGAAAGAAAGAAAGAGGAAGACAACGTGAGAAGATTCTTGAACTGATACATGCAGCTGTTGATTGCAGATTGTAGAAAGGCATGATCACCCACTAAACAATATCTTAGCTTCAGTAGTTATCTTAGAACTAAACAATATCTTAGCCTCAGTAGTTATCCTAAAACTAAACAATATCTTAGCTTCAGTAGTTATCCTAGAACTAAGCAATATCTTAGCTTCAGTAGTTATCCTAGAACTAAACAATATCTTAGCTTCAGTAGTTATCCTAGAACTAAACAATATCTTAGCTTCAGTAATTATCCTAGAACTAAACAATATCTTAGCTTCAGTAGTTATCCTAGAACTAAACAATATCTTAGCTTCAGTAATTACCCTAGAACTAAACAATATCTTAGCTTCAGTAATTATCCTAGAACTAAACAATAACTTAGCTTCAGTAATTATCCTAGATCTAAACAATATCTTAGCTTCAGTAGTTATCCTAGAACTAAACAACATCTTAGCTTCAGTAGTTATCCTAGAACTAAACAATATCTTAGCTTTAGTAATTATCCTAGAACTAAACAATATCTTAGCTTCAGTAATTACCCTAGAACTAAACAATATCTTAGCTTCAGTAATTATCCTAGAACTAAACAACATCTTAGCTTCAGTAGTTATCCTAGAACTAAACAATATCTTAGCTTTAGTAATTATCCTAGAACTAAACAATATCTTAGCTTCAGTAATTACCCTAGAACTAAACAATATCTTAGCTTCAGTAATTATCCTAGAACTAAACAACATCTTAGCTTCAGTAGTTATCCTAGAACTAAACAATATCTTAGCTTTAGTAATTATCCTAGAACTAAACAATATCTTAGCTTCAGTAGTTATCCTAGAACTAAACAATATCTTAGCTTCAGTAGTTATCCTAGAACTAAACAATATCTTAGCTTCAGTAATTATCCTAGATCTAAACAATATCTTAGCTTCAGTAGTTATCCTAGAACTAAACAATATCTTAGCTTCAGTAATTATCCTAGAACTCAACAATATCTTAGCTTCAGTAATTATCCTAGATCTAAACAATATCTTAGCTTCAGTAATTATCCTAGAACTAAACAATATCTTAGCTTCAGTAGTTATCCTAGAACTAAACAATATCTTAGCTTCAGTAGTTATCCTAGAACTAAACAATATCTTAGCTTCAGTAGTTATCCTAGAACTAAACAATATCTTAGCTTCAGTAGTTATCCTAGAACTAAACAATATCTTAGCTTCAGTAGTTATCCTAGAACAAAACAATATCTTAGCTTCAGTAGTTATCCTAGAACTAAACAATATCTTAGCTTTAGTAGTTATCCTAGAACTAAACAATATCTTAGCTTTAGTAGTTATCCTAGATCTAAACAATATCTTAGCTTCAGTAGTTATCCTAGATCTAAACAATATCTTAGCTTCAGTAGTTATCCTAGAACTAAACAATATCTTAGCTTCAGTAGTTATCCTAGAACTAAACAATATCTTAGCTTCAGTAGTTATCCTAGAAATAAACAACATCTTAGCTTCAGTAGTTATCCTAGAACTAAACAATATCTTAGCTTCAGTAATTATCCTAGAACTAAACAACATCTTAGCTTCAGTAGTTATCCTAGAACTAAACAATATCTTAGCTTCAGTAGTTATCCTAGATCTAAACAATATCTTAGCTTCAGTA